AAAGGTTATGTTGAAAATCACTAAAAGTGCGTTAACCGACTAACAAAAAACGTCAGAAACACTAAATTTTACGAAAGAAATGTCAGAAGGAAGCTGCATCCAGGCTTTTTTAAAAATTGAAAATTGGCGTGGCGTCACCCACTTATGGACCAAAAACCATATCTCAGGAAGTTCTCGACCGATTTCGAAATTCGGTATATAATTTCGAAATTCGGTATATAATATTTTCTTAACACCCTGATGACATCTACCAAATGTGGGTGAAATCGGTTCACAACCACGCCTGAAATCTTGATTATCACTTTATCATGCGAGAGTATAAAATGTTCGGTGACACCTGAACTTAGCCCTTCTTTACTTGTTGTAAGTTGAATTTAGTTGTAAGTAAATAAATATAATAAAATTAAGTAGCTGGTTAAATAGTGTTTTACTTATTATCACCTTAAACACCACATTAGTGAACCCGACGACCGAAATTCATGCAATATACCGACGTTAAAATCACCCGCCGTCCTACGCCCTGCGTACAGGCTAAAAATCAACGTGATTTATGGACTAACTGCTACATTGGTAACACGTTATTCCAATGTGCGTATCATAAACTCAACATTGGTGAGCCACAATCGTCAAAGAAAATCCCGATATAGGATTTGCACGCGCATACTCGACTATATCACGCCACGCGGCTTGAGCAATAGAACCCTAAACCTGTCACATCATTTTAGTACCAACCTGGTACCAAGATGCGCAACATAAAACAGTCACCATCGGAAGACAATTTCGAAGACAGGAAACCTCTACAACCAACATCTAATGTCATTCGACCTATACAGTTTAATCCTGACAAGCCATCGCTGTAGTTCGCCCAAATCGAGGCACAGTTTAGGATTCTGGGAGTGGTAAGAGAGACACGCGACATACGGTGGAGAGGAAGACATCATCGTTGATTCTCCAACAGCAGCACCTTTTACTGCATTCAAAATGGCAGTAATTAGCCGTTTTTCTAAATCGAAAGAAGCGAAACTACAATAACTTCTCCAAGGTGAGGAGATTGGAGATCGTACGCCATCACAACTCATTTGCCATCGAGAAACTTGGCTAGACGCTCTACCGGTTGTACTATTGGGCCCTCGAACAGCATGGAAAACAGACATACGCACAACGCCAGCCGAACTCTTTTATGGAGAACCAATGCGTTTGCCTGGAGAATTCATTGCCCCTTCAAATAATCAAACAACCACTGCCGAACTATTACAGAATTTAAAACAACATTTCAAAAATGTAGCACCTGCAGAAACGTCAAGACACGGAAAGAGATCAATTTTTTATTTTAAAGATCTAAACACGTGTTCTCATGTTTTGGTACGAAATGATCATAAAGAAATTTCATTCTCATCGCCCTACGAAGGGCCGTTCAAAGTCATTGCTCGTCACAACAAATATTTCGTCATAGACTACCGAGGCAATCCAACCTCTAATTCAGTGGTTAGACTTAAACCAGAATACGTAGCCTACAGCGACGTAAACGAATTAGAATTCTTCACAGCAGCCGACAAAACTCAACGTACGTTTTTTGGAGTTAAGTTTAGAGGTATATACCGAATTAATGTATAAACTTTAAATTTCTAATTAAAATTTTAAAAGTGTCTTAAGAAGGGGAGTATTGTAGCGACTGGCATCTGTCCAAATTGTAATAGATCCACGATTATAACTACTTAACTACTTTCATCTGATAACACTGTATTCAGCTAACTAAAATATTTAGTCCAGTTACACCTCATATTAGCTTCTCTAATTCGTCCTATTCCTTTTAATCATAAAACATTTATATTCGTATTAATAATATATTTGTAAGTCGGATTTACTTGTAAGTAAATAAATATAATAAAATTAAGTAGCTGGTTAAATAGTGTTTTACTTATTGACACCTTAACCGCCACATATGTGATATTGGGAGAAAGAAGATAGATAAAATCGGGTCGATACTACCCCAACTCACATATACTAAGTATAATGATTTTCGTTTTTTTAACAAATCGTATGCCAAATTTGTCCAAATTTGTCGGTCAGTGYATGAGTTATTACGCTTGGATTCCTATCTTCTAGTTGACGGTTTGCACCTTAAGGTCCCTGACACTGATTCCTTCAAATTACAAAAGTGCAAAATCATCGGTTGTACCCGAATTTAGCCCTTCCTTACTTATTTTAAATCAGTGATTTAGCCTAGTTTAAATTATAGAGAAAGTAAAGAAATTAGAACTAAGAGGTCAATTGTCAAAAAAATYCCAGACACCTGCATCTGCCCCTAGTATCATTAAAAGACAATAGCGGAAGTGGTATTTATGGTAAAAAGTAAAGAAAGGATGATTTTAGCATCCAATAGGYCGATGAAGTAACTCCACATTAGGTGAATGAAAATTCGGGAGCTACGCTAGTATGTTAAGCCGTTCGTTAAACCATAGTTACAAATTTTTTCTAATATACAAACTAAATTTACATTAATGTAGGTACGCTTGTGTTCATGAGTTGTGATCAGCTATTTAAATACAATAACGTTTTATATAGAAAGAAAAAACTTTTAACTAAAACTTGTGTATAGAAAATTGTATTCAAATTCAAAAAAATCCACGAAAATTGATGAAAGAATTGAACTTTCAATTTTTTTTGCATAAATTGTTGAAATCTTAGAGTACAACTCAACTTCTTCAGAAGCATGAACATCGTCCGCAGTTGGCACATGGTCTTGTGTCCTATGGCTACATGCTCGGACGCCTGCGCCACACATATACTACCGTACAAAAATGGGCATATAATGTGTGTGTCTGTGAGCGGTAGTTATGAGTAGTAACATTACATCAAAATGCTGCTCTCTCGGTCGTTCAATCATTATAATGTGTGCGCACAATTAAACGGAAGGAAAGAAGGAAATTATTAAAAATGTGGAAATGAAGTCCGGAATTTGATGGTTGAATGCACCTTCCCATTGTCAACAACATTTTCGCCCATACCCACACTTATATATGTATGTATGTATATGTGTGTGTAAGTGTTTAGATTTACAAGGGTTGCCGAAACTAGATAGAACAACACCAAAAGCGTTAATCAACATATTTTTATTAATGCGACCCTGTAGAAAAAGTCGCTTAGCTTGCGAATTGAAAATAATTACAAAATCATCTATCAAGCTCATACAGTTATAAAATTCGAGATAAATAACTTAGAGATGAGCTTGGTAAAACTGATGGGAAAGGYCTTATAAAAACTGCGACGGAATTTTTTAATTATGTAACACAGGCACAAATCAAAACCGAGTATGTGCAATTATGAAATCAATAGAACGGTTAATAAATATATGTGAAAGATTTTAACATTTTAGTTCACTCCATTTCACAAATGGCTTGCTTGTACAACACCTTAGGTCTTTTTAATAGCTATGTAACTCTTCACATCCGAAAAAACTAGAATCCGAAACGAAGCTGTAAAATGTCACATGGAATCATCCAATCACCTGATAATACGAGTACTGAAGCGTCTTTACGACAATCGGATCGACGTAACGCAACAGATACGGATTTTTATCCGGCCAAGGGCTGCMAACACGGCAGTGTTCCTCTAAATTACCTCAGGGATAAATTCTGCTGCTACAACAACAATAATGGTTACTGAAAATAGTAAGATTTTCCATTACCCAAAAACTACGATTTAACAATATTTTCTAAATAAAACGAACCAATATTGCCACCTTACAATATATCAAAATCTTACTATTTGAGTATTAATGGCTTTTAGATGATCGCTTGCTCGGTTTTCAACCACCTGATACGAGCACATTTATTGCACTTACCGATCTGCCTTAAGGTTCAAACTGATAAATGATAAAAAG